ATAATGTAGGAGTTCTATTTATCTTTTTCCTCAATTTTTTGACCTTTTCCTTTCATTTTAATCATTTATCTTATTTTAAAATCCACATCCATAACTCATACCTCTTTATCGAGGGTTGTGACTTTTCAACTCCATAACCCCAATTGTTTAATGAGTTATAAATTGAATAATTTAAGGTTTTAATTGAAATTCCATAACTACAATCACGCTCAATTACAACTCTTACTAAGAAGGAGACTAACAAAGCAACGGTTTCGACATTTATTGACAACCATTTCAATTTATTTATATTTAAAAATCACCTAATTCATCATAATGATTCCTAATGAAGTTTTTCTGTTACAAATTGAAATCGAATCGACTATTACTGTCCAAAAGCAAAAAACAGAAAAGAAAGTGCTTCTAGGGACCATGTATATATCCTCAGTATTATTATCTTTGTGCATTGATGATTGAAGAACAAAAATGGTATGAGCATTGGATTAAAGATTTTCAGATTGATCAAGAACCATAAATTTTACAAGCAGTCATAGATATTACTCTTGCTGCGTTTGAGAAACAGGGGGCAAGTATCTCCTTGATATCCCTAAGGTTTTCAGGCTTTTACTTTTTAGTTTAACTTTCATAAGCAAGTATTTCGCTGATGCAACTGATCTCAAAACAAATAATTTCAAATAGAGTATATTACACACTCTCATTTTATGCTTCAACTTTAGTTGAATGATTCCTATGTTACACACTTTCATTGTATGCTTCACTTTTTGTTGAACTGTTTCGTTACTATTATTATTCATGTCCTTTTTAGAAAAATGAGTATTTTCCATGATAATTATTGTTTGAGAGATGAGATGGCTCTACTTAGTTTTTATTCTCTCTCTTTTTTTCTATTATTTTTTCTTCTTTTTTTCTGCGTCGGATAAGACCCAAAGTTGCTTTGAGTGAAGCGTATGTACCAATATTCCCTTTACTGCAAAATCCTACATATGGTTGTTTCATATTATTTTCTATCTGTCATATTATATTAACTTGTTGGATCCGTGGTTATTCTGTATTTGTAAATAATAATTCTTGAAAAATAAAACGTTATCTTATAAACGTAAATTTAAATGATACAGAAATTAATTCGAGCCCACTGAATTCACAGTGTTTCCTTAAGGAATTTAATCCACTCCTAGTACCCAAGGTTATAAATTATTTTCTCCCAGGATATAACGAATTACACACTAGTGTAGCGATACTTCAAACCTCAGTGTTTCAGCGAACACAAAGTTCGGCAGCAAATCACACTTATAGATGCTTTGTTTGTAGTTAAAAACAATGCAGAATAAGGAGGACAACTCAGAAGTCGAATGAAAATTCTGAGAGGAAGGAATGCAAAGTATAGCCAATGTTGAATTCTTACTGAAGAGAATATCAGATTGCAATTCGTTTTTCCAGTGTATACGCAGTGTATACAGAGTGTATATCCAGTATATACAATGTGTATATCCAGTGTATACAGAGTGTATATTAAGTGTATACAGAGTATTTCGAGTGTTTTTTCCGATGTGTTATTCTTTATCTCCAACTTATGCTCTATTTATAGCAGTTATTTGAGAGAAATACCCTCCCTCTATGGTGCAACAAGTACTAGGCTATCATGAAGGTAGCACTTACATGGTGGAATGTACACTTGCTTGGTGGGAGGAGCACTTGCACCATTGTGGGAGGTGCACTAGGCTACTTATTGCTTAGTGTTGCAACACAATACACGGATTGGAAAACATCCGTTACAAACACGGATTATATCATGTTAATATTCACTATTAACAAATAAATTTGGTCCAAAAAATTAATCAATCGATCGATCATTTGACCAAATCTGAATCCAAATCCAAATACAAATCCCATTTCCCATTTACTCTAATTTTAAGACTATTTCATCTTAAACAAAAACTCAACAAT